TTCCTTTTTTTTTTTTTTTTTTTGATGGAGAGGTTCGGGGGAGTGGTTTGTTTGTCTGTTGGTTAAACATGATATTACTGTAAAGCATTTTTTTTGGTTATTGGAAAGTATGTTAAGATTAGGATGTCCAACCAGATGCTAGCAGGCAGAGAATCTCACTACTTTGCAGGATCAGTTCCCAATCAAAGATTATTAACGTTTTTATTTTGTGGAATGTTGTCTTTCCTTACGTTCAAACAAGGGACATCCTCGAACAATAAACATATCTGAGAAAAAGCCCAATTTAGACCAGTTCCTTCAAAAGTCAAGATAAGAATCAAAGTTAAGTCTGTGGCATGCAAGAAAACCTCATGGGGGAAAAATTGTTCAAATTAGTGCCTCGAGTTGAGCACAAAATTCACATTTGGTTACCTAAGTAAGTGCCCAACTGTCAGAAACACCAATTAGCTGTAAGTCAACAGATTTGGGGGCCCCTTTATTCATCCAAAATGTTGGGTCCTAGCATCTTTTATATATGATAATATGAAGTCTGCAGGGCATTCTGTGTTCCTTTAACACAGAATGTGTTACTTGTTTTAATAATCTTCAGTAATGCAGTCATTCCAAGCTCCAGGACTACCACAACTAAAATGAGAGAACAGAAACACCTTTACCACTTTTCTACATGTATGTTCAAATGTGACATTTTTCTTAGTTGTAATGTTGGTTTGGAAGGGGTCATTTATCATTACTTTAATGCTCTGTATAACATTATTACCACATTTCAACTTCTTTATATGTAGAAGCTGAATGCCCAATTTAGCGATGCAAAAGCATTTTTGGATTCTAAGTTGGGCTATAGCAGTTGGTTTGTCATATTCATCAAACTCTTACATTATGCTAAAGAGGTATCTTAAGTTATGCATGATTGTTCTTCCATGAATGAATCCAGGATGGTTAGTGATCTATAAAGCTAAGAGTTATTACTGATTCCTTTAGATGATTGAAGAAAGCAACAATACCTGGAGGGGGGGGGAAATGCAGGTATTTCTGAAGCGTACATATGACCTTATTCCTGTTGCAACCAGTGACAATTCTCAGGTGTAAGAAGAAGAAAACAACTTTTTCTATTTCATTCAAAGCACATATTATAAGCCGGCTACAGCATGTGTAAGGCTGATTTTGAATAAGTGAGCTATGATGGATTTAAATAATACTAAAATATTAGATGGACAGGAAAATGTATATGTCATGCACACAGTGAGGGTTTAAATAATGATAGGACATTGAACGCACAAGGAAAAGAAATACTGTAGACTCACAGCAAGGGATTAATAACAATACACTTAATATGCTTGCAGAAAAGGTGTATTAAAAGCTGTGTGCACAGTAGGGACTTAAATGATTAAAAATAATAATACATTTGCCTGGGAAGTACTAAGTATACTATACGTAGAGAGCAGGGATTTAAATAATAATAATATTAATAATAGCTCATTGAGATGTGGTTGCTGGCACTACATCCTAATTTTACCTTTCCAAATGAATTTGCTACGGCAGAATCTAACATTGCTTGTTGAGGGATAGTGGCGCTCCCCCTTCCAACACACACACACACACACACACACACACACACACACTCTTCCATGGCAAACAACAAAGAAATGTGATGAAGGGCTAGTTGCATACTTTTTCTTCTGAATCTCTCTCTCGTACGTACACACACTACAACCATCAGCACATTTTACAGATATGTTTCCTATTTAATTGCTATGCTGGAATTTCTTAATGCCTTTTTGAATTAAGTTAGATCCCTACCAGGCAGTAGTGTGGGGTATGCTTTTTTTTTGCTTTTTTTTTAATAGATGGCCAGATATAACTGCCATATCATGTAAATACAAATGATTACAGTTGCTCAGGGAAAAGTTTGTAACAGTATTTGAAAATGCTATATCTTTTTCTTCCTTTCGTCTAAGGAGTAAAGAAATTCCACTACTGAATGGCTGTTAGTATCTATTTTACAAGATTTACTCATTTTCAGGTACCTAATGTAGCTGCTAGCATGCATGCACAACAATACAATTTATATGGTAAATGGAACCAAATAATGGCTTCACTGAATGTTATGGCTGCACTGAAGGGAAATGTCACGGTAAATAGCTGCCAAATTATGGATCATGCCGAAGTGTCACAACTGCACTAAAGACAAATAGCACTAGAGGCTATTGCCACTGTGACGCTTTTGAGTTATGAAGAAGAGGAGCAGCCTGATGTGAGGCTCTTTGTGTCCTCATTATAGCAAAGGGTTACTGGTGCAATGTACAAGAAAACCTAGTCCAACGTGGTGGTTAGTTATTAATCTGCCCGTTTCAGATCAAACAGCTGTAGCAAAACAGAAAATTTTTTGCCTTTCTTCATAATGCGTATGCACACACAAATAAAGAAAAAAATGCAGGTTTTATGAATGTAAATGTGTACAGGAAATGACTGGTAATGGAAAAATGTTGTAATAAAATAATCTAATCAACGAATATTATTAAATTTAACATAGTATGTGTCTGAAAGGTTTAGTTGCTTTTTATGCAGATAGATGTGTGAAATATAAGCAATAATACACTTTCTCTCTTTGTAAAGACTTGAGTAGTAAGGACATTACCAACTAAATTGCTTCTTCTAAACTGAAGTGAGTCCCGGTTTCTTTCATTTTAATGGGAGGGTAATAAAGATGAAAGACTAACATTTTAACTGATGGATCCCTTAAGCTACAGAATAGAAATTTATTATGTTTTGAGGGGATATGCTAAATCCTGAAATGCAGGAGGGAGGGGGAGATCCCAGGTAAAATAAAAGCAAACTAAAAAAAATAATTTACCCTTTTATGGATGGAAAACTATGCACTGCTTTTATTTATGCTAAGCAAACCATACTATTTTTTAATTTGGGCACAGCATCAGAAATATATTTGAAAAGGGGTTGGGAATGGAGGTCACAATTCAGAAAGTGCTCTCTTTTTTGTACAATTATTGTTTAAGTCCAGTAGATAACATTAAGTGAAATGAGTTTCATGGCCTCAACACTTCCTTAACAAACCATTGTACATACCACAAATAAACCATCCATAATTCAACACAATTGTCAGTCTCTGTTTTAGAGAGGGAGGCCAGAATTGAACAATCATGATGGATAAATTACTTCTCAATTCTAGGGAGAGTGGCCTTCCTTCCACATCAGGCTAAAGGTCATTGGTAGGGCAGTGAGGAGGGAGCTTGTACATTAGTTAACTCTAATGCACTAATAGTGTGTGGATAAACAGAAGAACTAGACTAATTAATTATAGTTAGGCTTTGAGGGGGGAGGTTTTTTGGTGGGGGAAGAGGGAAGGGAATTCTTGAAGAACACTTATTTTGTTCTTATATATTTTGCCTCCTTGCTACTCTTTTTCCATTGCTCCCATGCAAAAATAATAAATAGTAGACGGGTCACATTTCTCATAAGTGTATTAGAGCTTTCAATTTAATTCATTGGAAAATTCCACATCTCAGAGTATATACAAAGAAGAGACTCTAAAAAGGTTTTTAACCTGTGGCAATAACATATTCCGCTTAAAATTCTTACAGTGTAGCCTAAAGCAGTGTGGGGGGAACTGTCCAAAATGGGGTAGAGCATGTTTGAATGGTGATTAGTGTACCCAAAATTTATTTCATGTATAGCACATTGGCAAGTAGCTGCTTCTTATTAAATGAAAATCCTGTATTATGTACTTCAGGAACATTCCAGCTAATGAGTATGTAATGTCCTTAGTATAACACAGAACTTCTTTTTGTGTTCACAACCACAAGATGCTGGAAACTTGACAAATGATATCATTTAAGACAGATGCCTGCCTTAGGGACCTGTTTTTTGGCTTCCTGTTTCTGGCTTTTATTTCAGTAACATTTGTAATTGCCATAGGATCTGTACCTGTGTAGTGTTTTAACCCCTTCACATATTCACCCC